GCTTTGAATTAGTCTTCTGTTTTTTTACCAATGGCATTAGAGAAGAAAGGGATAATTTTCAGGAAATAGAAAACTAACCTACGGTATTGGTTCGCATCTTTTATACATCTTTGCATTTTTACATCTGAAAATTAGTACTTACAAATCAACATTTCATCACACATTCCATGCATTATTATATTATTTGCTTATGAAAGGGCTATATATTAAATGAGCCAATATATTGAAAACCAACTTTATTTTCTGTTGGTTCATCCTCTCAAAGGTGACTGATCAGATTTCTTTAGCAAGTTCCAATTGGCTAACCTCCATGTAGATTGTTTTGGCAGCAGTACAGAGTCTACTAGTTTTGGGGGGATCAGCCATGGTCAACTAGGTGTTACTATCCATAGTATTGATACAGCAAATGGTTCCAGTTCTTGGATCATCATATAAAAATGAATGGTTAAATATAGTTCTGCCTAAGACTAATATCATCATTCTGTTTTCTTCTAGATAAAGAGAAAAAGGAAAAATTTGAGGAAGATGAAGCAGCAGCTGCAAGTACAATGGCAGTCTCTGCCTCTCTCATGCCTCCCATTTGGGATAAAACTATTCCTTATGATGGGGAGTCTTTTCATCTGGAATATATGGATCTTGATGAATTCCTGTTGGAAAATGGAATCCCTTCCAGTCCTGCTCATCTAGATCTGAATCAGAATCCCCTCCTGCCTGTGGCTGAACTGGAAGGAAAAGAACCTTCCACTGTTGTTTCCACTCCACCTGCATCATCTTCCACAGTGGTTTTCAATCTATCAGAAACGACCAAAAACTCAGGTGTGTTAAGGGGTTCAAAAGGATGCTGCACAAAAAAAGGTTGCCTATGTTGTTTAATTGGGTTATTAGTTTAATTGCAATGCAAAAATCAGAAAAGTAATTAAATGGTTAGAATGAGCAATTTGCTTGTCGTGCAAAATTAAACCTGAATTTAGAAATCGATAGTTCAGTAATACAGAATCTAACAAAAATAATTTCAGAGCAAGTTACAAGGAAGAAAAACTAATATTTCACTGGTTCATATTATTGATTCTATTAATATTATGTAAACAAGAGATGAAAGTGGTAGCGCTGTGTATGCTACTTTTTGCTGGAAATATGTTGTTTTAATTCAAATAAGTGTAGAACTATTGTCAAATCTGTCTTGTTTGATTAGTATTAATATATGTTGCCTTATATGCTGCTATATTAAAGGCATTTATCACTGGGTTTCAGACTTAATGGTGAAGGAGGGGAAAATATTTTGCCAGTTGCCTCCTCTCTTATATGTGATACATTATTAAAGAAGGAAGACTCAGTTTACATTTCAGTGGAAATTAAATTATTGAAGTTATATGGAAACAAGCTTAGTAGTTATAATTCACACTATACAATTTTACTTTGCAGCATGCATTTAAAATATGTATTTGAATACATATGTTTGGAACAATCTAGAAAAATGCTTATGCTAGATAAAAAAGTATTATTTGGAAACTAATTTTAAAAATGTTAGAAAATATAAAGATAAATTGCATAAAAGGCGTATGAATTTACTGACAAAGTGTAGAAATGTTATGGTTGTTTTTGCTCATGTTCTAATGTTTCCCTATTATCATATATCTGAATTCCTCTATGCGTGAGTCAAATGTCCAAAGGGTATAGTACCAAAATATTTCCTTGCAAGTGAGTAGATAAACAGATTGTGGTTGTCCAGAATTCATTTTGACTTAAAAATTATACTGTGTTGCCTTTACTAAACAGTACTCTCACCTCATCAGTTTTGTTTTCTAGACCTAAAACTCTTATTGAATTGTAGTGCATTTGTGAATAATTCTGAGTTCTTAATAATTTCTGCTGACCTCCTTTCTTTGGTCCTTTTTTTGTTTCATCTTTATTATTTTTTTCTCTTTCCTGAAGAATTTCTGTTGGAAGACCATTACTTCCCACTTTCATCCAGAAAAAATGTGAAGCCTCCTAAGGTGTAGGCCAACTATGTAGGCTCCTAAGATGCAAGATAAGCTTTTGGGAATATATATGAGAATAGTTCCATGCAGATGTTAATTCATAGTTTTAATTCCTGAAATGTTTTTCTATGCCAGATAAGTTATCTATAATCAGATTTTCACATATTTATTTGGAGAGCCATTTAAAGTTGCTTTCCCTCAATATTCTTAGTAGACATAGAAAAAATGAGAATTCTGAAAATTAATACCACTGTCTTCCTTAAACCAAGGCTAAATACAAGACTTTTCAGTGTTGCATCCTCTTTATGTGAGTGACCTTTCTTCAGTGAAAATGGTATTGTACTACATAATATATTTTTTGAATAAAGGGCCTTTTTAATGTTTCTGTTTTATCATCTTCTTCATGCTGCTCACTATTAAATTTGTCTTCCTTTTTCCAGAGTCCTCTCCAGATGATGAAAGGTTGACTCCTAGCCCTGTTGATCCAGATTGTGTTGAGATTGATGTGAATTTCAACCCTGACCCTGCTGATTTAGTGCTGTCCAGTGTGCCTGGAGGAGAGCTCTTTAATCCTAGAAAGCATAAGTTTGCTGAAGAGGACTTGAAACCACAGCCTATGATTAAAAAAGCCAAGAAAGTCTTTGTCCCAGATGATCAAAAGGTAACTGTGTTTATTCTGTTATTGCTTAAATGAGTGATCATATTTCAGAAGTACTTGAAATCATGTTTGTTGGCTGCAAAGTACATTTTCAACTATCCTACTGGAGTTTCCCATAATTGAGTCTTTATAATCAGCAGATTATTTGTTCTAAAATTCTGGTGGATTTAGTGTGAGTTTCTTGAGTAATGGCAATTTACCATCTTCTTACTTGTCCCCAGAATGTAATTTAACAACATTGCTAGATTTAATGAAGGATACTTTGTTTCATTTGTTTCAGATTGTTGAAATCCAGAAGGAGGATAATTTAAAACATTTTCCAAGGCTTCCCCAGTGAAAGATAATTATTATAAACTAGTCAGGCTGAACTTCCCATTGTCCCTTAATCTATCCTTCTGAAGAATTCTTTGCTTTTTCTATACAGGATTTTCTGCTGCAGTTCAGCTTCAAGAAAATAGGGGGAGGGGGAGATGTGTCAAGTCTATTTTGACTCTTAGCACCTACATTAGGGGTGTCAAACTAGATTTCTTCAAGGGCTGGATCAGCATTGTAGTTCTTCTCTGTGGCCTGAGGGGGCAGACAGATGCCTCCTGCAGCACTCTGCTGGCCAAAAATGGGCCACATAGCCTGTTTTTAAACAGTTTTTGGGTTGTTTTTTGGCCCATTGGGCCCATTTTTTGGCCCAGTTTCGGCTGCTAGAGTGTTTCAGGAGGCCATGGAGGTTGAAAACAAGGTGAGGGGGTGTGCATGCGACCAATTTTAGCTGTCAGAGGCACCACGGGCCAGTCCCTTCATATTTCCAGACCGGCCCCTTGGGCCAGTTTTAAGCACCCCTGCGGGCTGGATCTGGCCTGCGGGCCTTGAGTTTGACACCCCTGACATTCCAGCAGTTTCCTTTGCAATAATTTTTGCAAGTTTCACTTGTCTTTTTTCTAGGGCTGAGACAGAGTGACCCAGAGCCACCTGGCTGGGCTTATGTCTAAGACAGGACAGTCTCCCAGTTTCAGTACTTTTAATTACTACATCAAACTGATTCTCCACTGAATATTACCTCCTTAAATAAGTTTTTGGGTTTCAGTGAATGTTTTTTATGGAGAAGATGGAGAAAAATCATGAAGGTTTCTTGCTTAGAAATTCATAGAATCCATCTTGTTCCTTTTGCTTTTCTTCTTTCCTCTCTATTCTAAGGAAAGGTTACCAGTTTATTAAATGAATCAGTATGAAAGCCAACCTCTTTGAGGGAAGTGACTGTTCCTTTCCCAATTTAAGGACAGTATTCAATTTGTTATGTCTAAGCTTTGCCAGCAACTAGATATTAATCAGAAATTAAATTTACCTTCTTAAAGATCCTTGATGGAATTACAAGGGAAGAGCTAGTTTGTTGTTGTTGTTACGGTGCTGGCTTGGAAACCATGAGATGTAAGTTCTATTCCCATTTTAGCAATGAAATGGGTGACTTTGGGCTAGTCGCTCTTTCTCAGCCCAATCTACCTCCCTGGGTTGTTGTTGCAAGAAAAACAGGAGCAAGGCACATTGGATCTGTTCGCTGCATTGAGTTACTTATAAAGTAATAAAGGTTGGATAAAAATCAAAGACACGGTCTGATTTTTATCAATTCAATTAAGTTGATTTATAAATTGATTTTGAGAGCACTGTGATGCCATACCAGAATTAGTGATTTCTCATGTAGATGAACAAAAGTTGCCATTAGGTAAAAGGTAGTCAGAAAATTTAAAATTTTAATTTTAATTTAAAAATTGGTGTGATATTTTGCCTGACTAGTTATGGTCAACCACAGTATTTTTAGTCAGTTCCTATGCCCATTTTTAAAAAATCTGTTATATCATAATATTCTGGACCACATTTCTGAGGAATCTTCACATGTAGCCCTCTGCACTTCATTGTAGTAGCCTAATCTGAAGGTTACTCGAGCTTGGATAGCAATAACTGTGGGCAGTAGCTTGCAACAAGTCCAGTCATATTTGGTCATTAGAAAAACTAGGTAATGGATCAAGAATCAATATCTGCTAAATACAAAACTGTCAATCTGATTATTTCCACATAGGATGAAAAATATTGGACACGGCGGAAGAAAAATAACGTGGCAGCCAAACGATCTCGGGATGCTCGGCGCCTAAAAGAGAATCAAATCACAATCCGAGCTGCTTTTCTGGAGAAGGAGAACACAGCCTTGAGGACCGAAGTTGCAGAACTACGGAAAGAAGTGGGAAAATGCAAGAATATTGTCTCTAAATATGAGAGCAGATATGGATCCTTGTAAGCAAACTCTTTCCCTTACTGTATTTAGTCCTATGAATAGTTTTCTATAAAGACATAGAAATAATAAAGCACTTTTGTTATCACTTAATCAAGTCACCTCTGCTAACACAACTTGATCAGATTTGATTTTTGTGTTGCAGTATGTCACTTTTTAATATTTTTATACAACATATTTACAGAGCTTGACATTTGTAATAAAACAAGTATAATTTGATGAATCAAGCTTGTCTGGGTTTGCTAAACTGGTTCTGGTATTGGAAAGAAAATTTATTTTATTTTACTTTATAACATATTATATAATGTGGAATAAATGATGCATTAGAATTGTTCCCTTATTTATTAACAAAAGAAGTATAAACAATCTGAAATACTTAACACAATTTCTAATACTATGTTGAGGAAAGTATATATTTCAGGCCCAAGTTATTTATTTTTAATCTCTACAGGAACACAAATATGTATGCTTTCACATAAACCATGCTATTGAGGTGTTATTTTGGATATTATAAGTATCTTTGGAAGTTGGAAAACCTGGATGTTTATCTCAACTCGCAATAATAATTACCTCCAACTCATTTGTGCTAGTTTTTAAAACTAACATAAATGATGAAGGTATGGTTCCAAGGCTCTTGAATGCCAGATACATTTGATATAGCAAAATACATTTTTGAAAGAGTTCACTTTTGTTACTTTAATTAAAAGTTTTAAAAAGGTAATGATTTCTAAACTATGCTGTCAAAGTAGCATGAGTATAGAGATTGTTTTAAATCTTTTAAAGCAATTCTTTACAAAAGGCTTATTGTTCAATATAAGAAAAGGTTCTTCTTGCATAGTTTGATTGTAATCCCTTTTTGTAACCTTCAGACAAACAAAGTCAATGTGGAAACCAGATTCACTTAACAACCAAGTTATTACTTTAACAACAGTGATTCACTAAACAACTGTGGAAAGAAAAGTCATAAAATGGGGCAAAGCTCACTTAACAAATTTCTCACTTAGCAATATAAATTTTGGGCTCAAGTGAGGTTGCAAGTTGAGGATTACTTGTATAGCAGATATAGATATAATTGTATCTATTAAAAAACAACCCCTTATTTTAGAGTTTTTCTTTATAAAACAGGGTGAAGGAGAGAAGGAATTAAATATTTGAACTGGATTTTAGACATAAGGAAAGCTAATGTTTGGGTTATTACCTTTATTTTAGATAAACAAAGGTTAGTTATTTTCTGCTGTACACATTATTTTTCACTCTATCTTTTTCATAGAAAAATCTACAACAAATAGCTAGTGTCAGATAGGGATCAACAATTATTTTAACTTTTCATATTGTTCCTCAATAGAAATGAAAAGTGTTCTGATATTATGCGATTATGAGAACTTAGAATTGTTCTATTTTATTATTATCTTTTTCTTGGTGCAGTTGGCTGCAGTTCATTATTAGTTTAAAATTCCTTCAGTAAATGAAAAGATACTTTAAAATAATAGATGATATCACTGGAAATGCAATGTAACAAAGTACTGTCTTATAAATAGTCATATTCTTGCTTTGCTTTGTTTAAAGTGACTTATCCGATTCCGAATGATGCATCTTTAAAGACTCTTAAAATCACAAAGAAACTAAACGCTACACATGAAACCACCTGCCATCAAAGTGAACAGTGAGACACATGAGGTATTCTACACAAACCATCTGATCTGATGACTCTGCTTCTCTGCAAGTATCTCCTAGAACTACCTAAGGGCTGAGCATGATGAAAAGACTAAGATTTCTAATTCTACACTTCCCTTTGTACTGCTCTTTTCCTTGTTGTGGCAATTTGCAGTACATTGTTTATTTCTTTTCAACCATTTGTGGTGCTTGTGATTCGGAATATAGCCTGAGCAAGCCTTGGCTTTGCAAGGTAACTCTTAGGAGGAAAGAACACATTTTATTTGAAAATCCCTTCACTAAATAAAAAAGTTAAACATTCTGCTTTAGTCTAGAAAGGGGTATTGATATTGCCTCCAATCATTATTAAGTAATAATATTGTTCAAACAGAAAATATAAGAAATGGACCAGAATATATCCAATATCAATATCCAATTCAATATCCAATCAGTGAAAAAAAACAAGCACCTTAACATGCACTGCATATTATCAAATGTTGGCAGCTGTTTCTGTCATTCATAATCGTTGACATTAGGTCTTCTTTCACTCATGAGGGCCGCACTGATCTGAAACTGCCCTGCCCCGTGTCCTGTCAGTCTGTGGACTTTGAGAAACTGAATGGATTAACTATTACTCCTGTGGTGGAGCAAGAGGAAATCCTGCAATAATCATTTGTAGGATTTCTTTGCGTGGTGGTGGTGGGGAGGGGAAACAGCTAGCTTTCCATTGTTGGATCTCATGCTGTGGAAATTCTTCCCTACTGCCACCAATCTCCAGTTTTTTCAGGGGCAGTATTACTGTTCCCACTGGTTGATATGGGTTGTGGGCTGTCTGCCATTTTTTGTGCCCTTCCACTAATCATCCTGAGGAATGCAGGTCTAATTCATGGTGGTCAGAGCAGAGTTTTCAGGACTGCTACTCAGGATAGAGTAGGAGAGATGAGATAGATTTGTGCAAGCATCCCAAGATTTCTAAACTAGCATTTTTCCTTTCTGACATCTGACAATACTCTGGTGTGATTACTGTGCTGATGAGCTGATGCATTTTCACAGTATGCTCTTTGTAATAAACAGTGTAGTTTGTCCTTGTTTTTCTGAACATACTTTTAACCGTAGTATTTAATAAAAAAAACATTAAAATTAATAAAGGGCAGATTAAAAAGATGTAAGATGCAATAATTTTAGTCCACATTTTCTCTATTTTACATGGAGAGAGAGATGAGAACTCAATGTCTAATTTTCTCTATTCAGTGAATCATTTAGTTTGTATTAGCCCATCAAAGGAGGGGTAGTTTTTTAGATTTCTGAATTGCAAATGATGATGATGATGATAATGATGATGATGATGATGGAATTATTTGTTATCTTTCTTAACATTTCCTAAAGAATTTGTGAACTTTCATAAAAGTTTCATTTAGAACTATAATACTATCACGGAGAATAATGAAATATAATTCTGATGCATGCCTGTCAAGTTGCAGAAATAGTTGATAAACCACATAGCAAAGGTCGAATGGTGATATGGGAATTACAACTCTGTGGAAATTAGAGTTGTAATCTACATTAAATTGTAGTGTATCAAAATAATACATATTTGGATTTATTTATTAATGACGAACACTCAGTTAAAGTTATTTTAAAAGCATATAAAAGATGAACATTGCTGTTTCCGGTATAGTTCTAAGGTAAAGTAAAAGCTTACTCAGATCGAGCCCACCTCCTGGCAATTTCATGAACTTATCCACACTTTTCATTTTAGAATACAGACTATTTTTTCCACCTCATAGGCTAGCTTATAGACTTGGTATTGCTTGGTAATTTCCAGTCCTGATGCTAACAAGATCCTGTTGAGCTTTCCAGGTCAACCAAGGTAGGCTAGAACTTGTCTTTCCTAAAATGCAGATTTTATTGTTTCTAATTAGTAAGCAAATAAAGATGCTGTTTCAAATTCTATGAATGAGGACTGTAAAAATCTGAGAAAATTAGTATAAATGTGAACAAAATAATCATAATATCAATCATCTCATGCTTCTCTAAAGACTGTGCTGCAAATTCTTATAACTTGCATTTGGTACCAGATTTCTAATAACTATGATACAAATGCAGCTTATAATAATCTGTGTGTCAGTTTTCATTAAATTCTCTTTCTATAGTTTGTGAAGATTTTATGAATGAACAACATAGTATAATCTAGCAAAGATTGTAAGAATATGTTAAATAATATTGTATATATTTATGTAACTAAAAATCTTCAGTAGCAAAAATACTATTAATTATTTATGGCCTGCACATAAGGCCTTCAGTAGTGTAGCATGCTATGTTTGAATATCATGCTATAAAAATATATATACAACAGACAAAATTGCAGTATTTGACTTGCTTTTTAGTTGCTTGGAAGTCTTACAATCACTTTATATTGAACTACAAAACTATGTGAAATTATATAACAATTTCTGAATTTTGTTAGAAATAACATTGTCCCAATTAAAAACAAATTTTAGAAAATTAAGAGAAACTAAATTAAGAGAAAATGTATAGATCATAAGCACAAATAGGTCTACCATCTTTTGTAACTTCATCTTGGTAATTCCATTGTGGCAGAAAAACATATATATACTTAGTATTATGTATCCAAATAAGTAATGGAAAATGAAGGCAGTATAGTAGATGTGAAAATTCTTCTTTATAAACTAGTATGATCTACAGTAGACAATAGGAAAAATTTGTGAGCAACAATGAGTTTTGTATGGGTATTCAGGTTTTATTCACCTATCACTGAATAGCCCACATGTTATGAAATTTAGTCCGGGGGTGAAAAATTCATGAAATAATACAGGAATCTAAGTGATTTTGAGGGCATTCTAGACAAAATTGCAAAATATTTCTTAAAGAAATTTGAATTCACAAAATAGAGAGAAAAGTCTACTAGTATTGTTTTACTTGTTTAGTAGGAAATGTGTGTTTTTAGAGTTTACCATGCCTGCCATGCATTATCTTTTTTCCTCAGTTTTCCTTAAGATTTCAAATGAAAGACCGTGAGAAGAAAAACATTTTAAAAATATTTAAAACAATGTATGTCATAGGGATCTTTCTATATGAAACATTGCCATTACAGATATTTTCTTTTGCACTCTACTAAATACCAGCTACCAAATATTTGAGTTTTTTGACAAAAGGGGTAATAGTGATACTGGGAGTTTTAGCCATCTCATTTAGTCAGTTTAGTCATTGGTTTCCCTTTGCTTTTTTACCATTTTGTCTATATTTATCATTTCACTAACAACCAGATACATAATACCGTAGTAATTTGATACCATAAAGCAGTAACTCATTACAGTGGAGAATAACATATCCCTTTTTATTCAATTGTATCCATCTACCTGTTCTAACATTTTTAAAAAATTATAAACTAATATTCTTAAATAATTGATTTGAGTAGGCATAGCATAGTATTTTTTTTAATTGAATATTTGTGTGAATCTTCTACTTTGGTTTGTCTTAAAGGAGTTTTTGCAGTTCTCTGTGATCTCTGTACAGATTTTGTTTGAAATTTTGATAGAGTCTCAGTTTGGTATAATTCATTCAAGAAATAGTTGATGAGAGAGTTGGCTTATATTGTGAAGTCTGAAGCTTCTTGAAGCTTTGATATTTAATCTATGTTATCTTTGTTGCCATTTTGTATGATTGCAAAAAAATCAGCGAAATCTCTAGCTTTTTAAAAGTACAGTATATATTTATTGGCAATTTTTCTATGTCCTTTTTGAGCTATATTGTATTGTGCTGCCTGTAATAATCAGGTATTTTAGATATAGAAAGTGGAAGCGAATAAGCAGGAAAGCTTGCAAATATATTATTAAAATGTTAGAAAAATATTCTTTGAATAACCAAAAGTAGCTGATGCTGCACTCTAATACTCTTGCTTTGGGTATTTTGTTTGCTTGTTTTTGATTTAAAAAATCTCCAAATATTCGCTAATCAAATCAGTTCATTTGCATTTTAACAGTTCTTTTTTTCAATACACAAGTGAAATGCATTTACATCCAACTCCTTTACAGCTTTTATTACAGTACAGGTAGTCTTTGATTTATGACCATTTATTTAGCAATCATATAAAATTACAATGGTGCTGAAACAAAATGACTTATGACTGGTCCCTGAACTTAACAATTCTCCCCTTGGTCATGTGATTGCAATCTAGAGCGCTTGGTAACTGGCTCACACTTTCAACATTTATGGCATCCCATAGTCATGTGATCACCACTTGCATCCTTCTCAGCTGACTTCCGATAAGGAAAGTCAAGGGGGAAACCAGCAGAAAAGATCACAAGTCACAGTCAGCTGTTGTCTTGCTTAACAACCACAGCAAAAAAGGTTGTAAAATCAGGTGCAATCACATGATGCCTCACTTAGTGTATCACTTAATGATGAATTTTCTGTTCCCTATTCTAGTCGTAAGTCTAAAAACAAGTTATACAGTTTGCCGAAAGCAGAAAATAGTGGAGAGATACAAAATTACTTCTTAGCTGTGCATCCACAACTATCAACCATACGTTTATCAAATGTTTGATTATTGGCAAAGCAACAGTAAAACAGGGCTTGTGGCATTCCCCATACAGGTAATCCTTGACTTATAACCACAGTTGAAATCTTGGTCATTGAATGCAGCTGTCATTAAGCATGACAGCTTTGCTGAATGACTGAGATGCTAGCATTCCCAGTTGCAGTTGTTAACCAGTCCCAGGTAAGGAATGTGGGATGCCTCGGGGGAGTGAGGAAGCCCTGGGAGGCCTAGGCAAGCTATGAGTTTGGGGTATGTTGCAGTTTGACACTGAGTGGCAGCCATCCATGGAAACCTCACTACTCACCTGGCCCACAAGCCCAGGCAAAGCTGCTGAGATTTGGGAAGCCATATTGCCAGTGATGGGATTCAAATAATTCAACAACCGGTTCTCTGCCCTAATGATGTCTTCCAACAACCAGTTTACCAAACTGCTCAGAAAGTTAACAACCGGTTCTCCCAAGGTGGTGCGAACTGGCTGAATCCCACCACTGCTTATTGCCCATATAGACCACCAGTGCATGCAAAGCACCCCACTTACTTTTGACATTTTTCTCCAGCTGCTGACAGGTATACCCACCTTATGTGAGATGCAGTCTTCTCACAGAGGCTGCCTTGTGCTTTTTTCCAAGCTAGCACTATTCTCGTGATCCTTTGGAAGCCCTTCTCCAAAATTTTCTATACTGGAGCTGAAAATCCTCTGACAAAATCCAAATAAGGTTTTCAACCCCAGAGCAGAGAGGCTTTTAAATTCTCATCTCAGAAGCTCTTTGGGGTTGGCATTGCACAGGGAAAAAAGAAAAGAAAAGCTGAAAGCACTTTTTCCCAGCAAAAGGTCAGCTCCAGTCACATCTAGGAGCACTTGGGGTTTGCTTTGCACTGAGAAAAAGAAAACAACACCTTTTTGTCTTAACAGCTCAAAGTTGCAAAGAACTCTGAGCAGGATTGGGATTGGCTTTGAGCTGCAGACAAAGAAAAAGATGCTTTCAGCTTCCCTTTCTTTTTTGCAGCACAAAATCAGCCCCATATGGCCCAGCAGTGAGGCCAGGCATGCCTCATGAGCAGTGGGAGCAAGAAGATGGTGTGAAGGTCAGCCTAGGCAGCGAAACAGAGGGCAGCAGTGGGACTAAAAGGCATAGATGGGAGAAGAGAGAAGTGCTTGCAGCACTTCTGCAGTTGTAACTGGCTGAACTGCAAAAGACCCAAACTTTGATCTCATGACCAAGGAGGCACTTTGATGGTTGTAACTTCAGGCATGGGTCATATTCCCCTTCATTCAGCATCATTGCAATTTTAAATGGTTGCTGAAGAAATGCTCTTATTTGCAGATAAGTTGAGAACTACCTCTAGTATCTAAAAATATCAAATATGATGATGCCAAATGCAGTTAAGAGATTGCTGAAATTAATAAAATTTCAGGTAATTTTAATGGAATAGACACTCACAGCCTAACTGACTTTGTAATGCATGGACATCCTTCATATTTCTTCTGCCTCCTTTGCAATATAAAGGCGTCATAAAAATTCTAAGATTATCTGTAGCGAAAGGTGAAACAAATAAA